TTAAATATTTATGAAGATGTTGAGATTTTTATAATTTTATTTTTATTTTATATTGTCTTATGCTCTTCTGTTATAATTTTAAAAATATTCAATTAAATAAACCTAAATTTTTTGAACAATTTAAAATTAATTACACAATTTTTGCTTTGAAATTTGAAATATATATTTAAAAAATTATTCAAGCTGTAATCAAATTTTCTATCTTGTAATAGATATTACTTTTGATACTGCTCCAATTGTTTTACTATTAATCAATAATAATAGCGAAATTATAATTTATTTATATTTTAAAATACTTTAATTAGCATTGTGCTTTGAATTGAATATTAATTCTGTACTTTTAGTTTTGCCTCAATTGAATTTGATGAAAAGAGGTAAGAAATGTTATGCCAACAGCACAAAAATAGTTCGTATAACGTGGTAAATACTTTATCAAATATCTAAGAAGTATTAATTCCGAATTCCAATTAAATAAGAACTAAAAGCAGGATGAGATAGAAACTTAAGAGTTTTCTACGAAGCCTAATAACATGCAGAAGTTCTGCTAGCAGATAGGTTTTGTAAAAAATGCAAGAATTGTTATATGCATGCGTTTGAATGTAACAGACTATTTATCTTTGAAACAATTATATTACCATTTAAAATCTCTTCATATTTATAGAGTCCACTCTCGTCTTCTTACAATATTTTATTATTCTTGGGGTATAATAGTATGCAAATTTCCCCAAGAAGGATCCTGCATTGGGATGCATCAATACAAATTTTGCATCAATTTAAATAAAGCAGATAAATTAGCAAGATTTACAATTTTTAAACCAGGCAACACACTACTACTTAACAAAAAAGAGTGTGGAATAGTTATATTGTTTTTAACTCACACAAAATAATTCAGAATTTGATATTAACTAACAGAATTTTCAAAATTTAAGTTAGAATAATCATAGTTTGAGGGGTATTTGTGGTATTGAGGATGTGTTCGTGGAACACTTCTGAATTGTTTTATTCTCTTTTTGAGATGTAAATAAAGAAATAATTGGCTAAGTATCTTAGGGAATAATAAAAACAAATCTAAATTGCCTGCACAATAGAGTTGGATACTTTAGAGTCGGATAGAGATTTTTTTTACATCAAATGAATACATCTGATCAATATATTATTGCTTCATTATTATATTATATATATTATATTATATATATTATAATGGTACAATATATTATTTAAGATCTTTTAATTTAAGAGGCATGAGAAATTATAAAATAATTTCAAGTGTAAATTTTCATGAATTAAAGACATTCAACTTTATCAGTAGAAAGCAATATAAATAACAGCAAGTATCAACTGTATGAGCAATAGATTATTTCAAAAATAGCCTCTATAAAAAAGTATAGAATGAAGTGAATATGAATTTTTTGTAAAGAATTTCCTTCTACGTGTATTCTTAATTCAGAAGCTTCTTCTAAAAACATAAATTAAGAATTTTGATAGCTTTTTCTTTGTTTTTTACCCTCAGAGAGTTCATCTAATTTGAGCAAATACACGGTCCACTATACCACGTGATCAGCAGATGTTACTAATATCACCGTTTATGAAGATTAAATAGAAAAGTATAAATTTTTATTTGCCTTTTCTCTTAGGCCGAAAATGTGTTTCAGAGAATCGCGTAAAATAAGTCGAATTATATACTCCAACTAATAACCGAGTTTGTTTGATGTTCAAAAGCTTTTTCTATTAAAGCAAAGCTTCTTCTATAAATTTCTGTTAAAGCAAAGACTACCTTTGCAGCATTTCAAATACTTTAAGACAAAACTCCTTCTACTTTCTTTACACATAAATGTATCAACTTAAATGCTAATGTAAATCTTGCCGAAGGCAGCAGGGTCAATTTGGGAAACGCGAAGTGTTGAGTTCGTGAAGATGAATATAAAGAGGGAGTCGCAAAGCGGTGAGTCCGTGAGCGTTTTTTACCCTACCTCTTGGATTTGTTTCTCAAATACCAATGCAATAGAATCAGAATAATGGTTCTGAATGCAATAGAATAAATGCGGAGCAGTGAAGTTGTGACTCCTTGAAAACGGAAAACAATGTGGAACCGCGGCGCGGTGAGTTCGTATAGGCGAACAAGCTCATCGCTGAAGGCGGTTAGTTCTTGAATAAATTTATTTGGAAGAGAAAAACTAGCTTATATTCTGGGTGAATCATAGTGGCGTTCTTTCGAAATGAGATATGTTCATTTTGTCTCTGTAGTAATCTCCCCCCCCCCCTATTGTTCTAACGAGTCCATTGGTTTACCCATTAAATTGACATTTGTATTGATATGGCAAGAAAAAAGAAACAGTAATTATTTTCAAATGAAATCATAGTGATATTCCTATAAAAAGAGACATGACCTATAGCTTTTGTAACTCCTGTAGAAATTTTTTTGATAGTCTTAACGAATCCATTAATTTATTATACATTAAAATCGAAAAATTGTCCAGTAGTTCTGCGAATAAACGGGTTTTCAGCCCAAATGCTTTAAAATGTTTACATTTATTTTGTGTGTTTGATTGAGTTGAGCTCATTTCATTCCTACTATGAATATCAAAGATTATCTGAAATAAAAGTTATCCTTTGATAATAGGCATAAAAATAGGGCATATTTTCTGTTTCATCTAAAAACCATGATTTTTCTCTTTATTTTAGAAAACAGTTGGAGAAAAATACTGAAAGTCGATGACCTCTCTGTTAGAAAAAGAAAAGAATGTGCATTCATCGTCATCATCACGACATGGGAGAATTAAATGCAGTGCCATATGGCAAGAACGTCTTATTGTTCTTTTTATTCTTAAAAATAGCCAAGACGAAGTAATTTTTCTATTCCAAGTTATTCATATTATGTAGAAAAAGAAAGAGTTTGCATTTAAAAAAGAGAAGAAAACAAATGAAGCTGAAAAAGAACTCTTTCAACACTTCTTTTTTCGTGGATTTGAAATAGATTTTGATGAATCGTCTAAGCATTTTCGAAAGTCGTGGGAATTTTTAACTTCAGGTCATTTTTATTTTCTTATTGCGCCGTAATTATTGCATATATTAAGACAAAATAATTAATTCTGTATTTAAATGAGTAGTGATATAATGTTGAGATCATCTTTTTGAGGTGAAATGCAATTTTGAAATAATTTAATTGGACTAACCATTGCTAAAAACATGATGGAAATGTTAACATTCCTTTATTTTTAATGAATAATTTTTTCATAGTAAATACTATCGTCGAGGTTTTTCTTTTTGTCTTTTTTAAAATTTAGACTAAGAATTTTTTTTTTTATTCTTACAAGTTTATTTCTTATAGTTTAGAAACTTTTAAAAATATTATTCAATCTTAAGGGTAACATATAAATAGCCCTCTGTTGAAACTGTTTCTGCAATAGAACTACAAAACGAGTGAACAAGGGATAGAACTACAAGTTTAAGACTTTTATTCTCACTGTAGTAGCTAAATTGTATTACGAATTACTTTTGGTTATATTCTATATAAATACTTTGTCATGTGCACTATTGCTTTAGAAATATATCCAATTTAACAGCAACAAAACAATATTTATTAAAATTTAAAGCGACAAAACAAAACAATTATGAGTATATAAGGGCCCTCAGCGGCCAAAATAGAATTACAGAAATATTCTCTTATCGAGGAAAGACCAGCCTACGCGCCGGCTCCTCTTCATCTCTCTCTTCTCAAATCTTTAATTGGGTTAGTGATTAACTCGCCCTCTAGCGGTGAGCCAATCACTACACCCCCCAACCAAGATTGAAATATTAATTTATACTTTCAATCTGATATACAATATCAAAATGAACACTGAATATTTCTATATTATAGCTTGTAAAATATATAAAAGTAAGCTTATAATTAATCACATGAAAACAACAATCAATCACATGAAAACAACAATTAATCACATGAAAACAACAATTATCCACTATTAACACAAAAATTATAAAATTTTAAAACAAGTTTTCCAATTATTAAAATAAAATTAATATATAAAACTAATATTAATGAATATTTCAAATAATGCAAATAATATGTAGTTACTTCAAGTAATAAAACATTTCCAATAAGCAGATAATGCACTCAATTACTTAACATAACATAGCATTAAACTATTAAAATTGATAACTTGCTTATAAAATCAAAATAATATATATAATTAATGAAATGTAAACATATGTAAAAAGAATGCCACAAATTTTACAATTTCCATCAAAACTAAGTAAAACAATGCTTGACTGGAAATTCTTATTAATAAAACAGATTAATAACCAACTAATAAATTTATCAACATTTCAATATATTTTAAACATTACCCAAAATTAATATATTATAAGGGCCCTCAGCGGCCAAAATAGACTTACAGAAATATTCTCTTATCGAGGAAAGACCGGCCTACGCGCCGGCTCCTCTTCATTCTCTCTCTTCTCAAATCTTTAATTGGGTTAGTGATTAACTCGCCCTCTAGCGGTGAGCCAATCACTACATAAAGTAAAATAAATTAGAAAATGTTAATAATCGCTTTGATAGAGTCTCATTATCGTCTGTTAGCATTCAGTTAGACTGGTATTAAAACGTTTTCACTGTTTTCATTTGTGTGCAATGTATTTTCTAATTATTTTCTTTACTCCTATATTTAAATTACTAGTAACTTTGATATCTGAGTTGTGTACGAAAATACAAAGAGCGTTTAACAACGTTCGCAAAGAGGACAGGCTATATATCAAGGATGATAAAAAAAATGATTGATTAATAGAAAATATTTTTTATTGCCATAATGAACATTTAGGTGGAATGCTATTACCGTCAAGAAATCTGAAAAACATTTTTGTGGTTTTCTTTTGCTTGCATCACAAAATTAGATTTGTTTTAATTTAATTTTACATAAAATGGGTTGCTAAACTAAACTCAGTGGCGCGACAGCCCATAGAGGGCCAAGGCCTACTGTGCCCATCTCAGTTTTCTTGACCTTGGGCNTGTTTAAAAGCGCCTCACACGTTACTTTGGCGGAAAGTGACCGAAGGGGTACCGCTTCGGGCCAACGAGACATTTGGTCCATTAAGCACAATATATACTTATGCCCACGACCAGATGGAGGTTCAATTGGACCTATCAGATCTACGTTCACAACTTCAAATGGAAGTTCAGGTCGAAGAACAGGTGTAATTGGAGACCTATCACTAATTTTTTCTTTTCTCCTCAATTGACAACCCTCACATGTTAATACGAATTTCGAAATATCGCTTGCCATATTAGGCCAATAGAAACTATACTTTATTCTTTCTTTAGTTTTCTTAACACCGAAATGTCCTCCGAAAACAGACTCGTGAGCGAGTTTCATCACTTTTTCTATTCTTTTACGCGGTAACACTAATTGAGTTACAGGCTCATTAAGAATTTTATCTTTATGATAAATTAAATTCTCAATTAAAATAAAATTTCCTTTATTTAATTTTAAAGCTTGCCGAACATTTTCTAAAGAAGAACACTCGATTTGTTCTTGCTTTAATTTTATCGCGTCAGAGGCAATAAAACATTCTTCCGAAGAAATGGAATCATTCCCTCCCGCCTCCTCAGATAACTCTTCGTCTGAGGGCATCTGGCAAAAAATATTAGCCTTCTCTTCTGAAAAAGAGGGATTCCCTTTCTCCGCGCTTTTACTTATTTTATCTTCATTATTATACGAAGATATTTCGCATAAGGACTCATAGAGAGATTGTGGAATAAGTGCATCCACACATAATTTGTCGGTCAAAGCCAGAACTACTTCCATGGGATGATTTAATGAGGTATTAACGTTTCCTAAGGAGATCGAAGTTTTAATCAATTTAGCTTTAATTTTTTCTCCAAAAGCAGATGTTAAAATTATATTGCCGTACTCAAATCCTTCTGTGTTTTTGAAAATATTCTCATTAATAACAAATAATTGACAAGCAGAATCAATTACGCAATCAATCCTCTGCTCGCCTACGTTTATAATCGCTCTTTTCAATGGGTGAAGACTTATGGGCTCTGGTTTTAAGTACTGCGCGTTGATTTTCGCCACTACAGCTGGGTCTGTTTTGACTTGGGACTTTTTATTAAGGTATCTCTTATTACATTCACGTGATTCAGTTCGTATCCTGGCGCCTACTGCGCCAATGTCATGTGCACTATTGCTTTAGAAATATATCCAATTTAACAGCAACAAAACAATATTTATTAAAATTTAAAGCGACAAAACAAAACAATTATGAGTATATAAGGGCCCTCAGCGGCCAAAATAGAATTACAGAAATATTCTCTTATCGAGGACAGACCAGCCTACGCGCCGGCTCCTCTTCATCTCTCTCTTCTCAAATCTTTAATTGGGTTAGTGATTAACTCGCCCTCTAGCGGTGAGCCAATCACTACTACTTAAATTCGGAAGAAATTTATTCTAGAGTATAAATGAAATGTTAAACGCGATTACTTGATAAATTTAAAGTAAAATAATTTTTATTGTAAATTTTAATAGTTTTTAAGAAATATTGTATATAAGTTATTAAAATATATTCTATATGCTCTATATGTACTATATACTATAATATATACTATATAAGTCATTAAAATTAAAAGAAATATAAATTATAAAAAAGTATTTTTGTTGAATGCATTCTTCAAGGAAGCATATTTAGTCACTCTTTTCTGTCTTTGTTACCCGTCCAATGTAATGCAGTAGATTAGGTTTAATACCGTTTAATGGTTCGTTTAATGTAATGCACAAGAGTAGGTTTTATATCGCTTAATGGTTCAATATAATACTCCAGAGTAAGTTTTTTTCCGTTTAAGGGTTCCATGTAAGGCTCAAGAATAGGTTTATATTGTTTAATAGTTCAAAATAATTCTCATTAGATGGTTTTTGTTGCTCTCTTCACATAATATCGTTCAATATAATAAAGAGTCGGTTTTGTTGCCATCATACCGTTCCATGGTTAAATATAATGCAAAAGAATAGGTTTTGTTGTTCACATTATACCTTCAGTGTTCAATATAATGCATAAGAGTAGGTCTTATTGCAAACTTTAGGAAGAGCAAACATCTTCATTTTGCTTTAGAGTAGGTTTTGTACCGTTTAAGGGTTTAATGTAATGGTCAAGTGTAGGTTTTATACCATTTAATAACTCGATAGAATGCACTAAAGTAGTTTTTTTTTTAACATTAGGCAGTTTAATGGTTCAATGTAATGCACAAAAACAGATTTTGTTGTTCCCTTTATACCTTCCAGTGTTCAATGTATTGCATAAGAGTAGGTCTTGTTGCAAACTTTATAAAGAGCCAACATCTCCATTTCGCACAAGAGTAGGTTTTATACTGTTTAATGATTCGATGGAATGCACAAAAGTAAGTTTTGTTCTTTACATTGCACCGTTTAATGGTTTAATGTAATGCATAAAAGTTGCTATTGCCGTTTCCTACTGTTCAATGGTTCGATATCATACTTAAGAGTAAGTTTTATACCGTTTAAGGATTCCATGTAAAGCTCAAGCGAAAGTTTGTTGTTCTCTTCGCATTATATCATTCAATAGTTCAATATAATGCTCAAAAGTATGTTTTGTTGTTATCTTCTTACTTTTGTTCTATGGCACAATATAATCACAAGAATAGGTTTTGTTGTTCACATTATACCGTTCAGTGTTTAATATAATGCATAAGAGTAGGTCTTGTTGCAAACTTTATAAAGAACCAACATCTCCATTTTGCTCAAGAGTAGGTTTTATGCCATTTAATGGTTTAATGTTGGTTTTGTAGCTCCCTTTATACCGTTCAGTGTTTCAATGTAATGCGCAAGAGTAGATTTTATTGCTCCTTTCACTTTATATCATTCAATGACTGAATGGTAGTGCACAAGAGTAGGTTTTGTTTCTGCTTTAATATCGCTCTTTGGATTTACTATAATGCATAAGAGTAGGTTTTGTTGTCAACTTTATTAAGAATCAACGTCTCCCTTTTGAATCTCTTATTGTTCAAAACCCGTGAATTCTTTAAACTCTTTAATGGAAAATGACGATATTTGTTACATTTTCATTTCCACTTAATAACATCGAATTTAAATTTTTTTTTCTTCCGTTTATTATCATGCCTTTCTTTGATGTTTTTTAGTGTACTCAAGTTTAGTTCATAATTCGTCGGATGTTGTGTATTTCGCCAGTAATATAAAAATTTCATCAATATATCCAAGCATTTTAAATGAAGTGCGTTTTTTAAAACATCGTACGAGGTAAACGTGAGCAAAGTGTTTCTGGTTGTTGGTATACAACTTATAATGTGTTTGTAATATGATGAAAAGCGCCACCTACGCCACCTTCGTGGTTCGATTAAAAGCGCCAAATTATTTGTATCCTAAGTTTAGTTTACCTTGAATGGCATCGTAGTTAACATAAAGAATAAGTTTTATTTATTTAAAATTACGATTTTATATTAAAAAATAAAATGAGTCTGAGAAGAAATTTCTTTTTGCTAACTCCAACAAATAAAAATTTTCTCAAATAAATAATAAAAAACTTAGCTGACAAAACAAGAAGATTTAAAAATGATTTGTCTGAAATGTCGTCTATTCTGGGAACATAATGAAGAGCCGCGATTATAAAATTAAAACTAACATTCTTCTTCGTCTAACTATATTCCATCAAAATTAATGTATTAAATAAATTTGATTCAGTGGCAAATGGCAACTACGATTCTTTCAAGTCCTTTGTCTTATCAAATCAGTACGTGTTTTATTTGAAGGAAGTTCAATAGCTTCAGCGGGCTATAATCTGCTAGAATTTTAGAAATTACCGAAGCAGTAATTTAATTCCACTCTTGTATTTCTACACCGAAACAATTCATTTAGAAGCTATTTTTTGTTCTTTTATATTTCCCAGGAACCAGCTTCCAACTCAGTTGTTGGCACAATGGGAGAGACACAGTAGGTGGAACGGGGAACTTTCCCAATAAGACGTGAAACCTCACACGACGTTTTATTGCAGCACGCAGCGTTAAAACAACACAAATCTCCTCCCGTTAATTAGTCTTACATGACGGTTTATATACATATCTTCAAGATGGTGGCGGCAATAGGAGAGGTTACCCACTGTCTGAAAAGTGAAATCTGTTTTTTTTTAGGGACTAAGCAGAAAATTTAAATTAGTAACATGTAGGGCATAAGTTGATATTGCTGTTTCAACCCTTTTTTTCGTATTTCAAGTTAAATTATTTTGTAGAATCCTATTCCACTGAAAATTGAAATTATTCTCTATGAAACCTATTTTGTAGATTAAGTTTTTAATTCGATTATATGTAGTTACTTATATATATATAGTATTTAGGGACTATGTAGAAATTTAAATTCTTAACATCTAGGTTATAAGCTGACTGATAGATAGATTTTTTGAATAGTAAAATTTTCTTCTAAGGGATTAATAATAATAATAATTACATTTTTAATTCTAGGGCGTAAGTTGATGTGGTTGTTTCAACCCTTTTTAGCATTTCAAACAATATTTCATGGGGTAAGTTTATTTTTATTTTATTTTATAACCGTCGTTGAACAGCAGACCCAATTTCATGGGTTTACGACTACTAATGTTCAACTCCGTAGCCTTGTAATTTTGAACCAATTCAGAAGACAAGGAAACTCCTGGATCAGTACCCCCAGAGGTATTGATTTGTTATGGGAACATAGAGGACTTTCAGACTCGACAGATTTAACGTGCATCAGTCACCATTTACTACACGAGGAGTTTTCGACCGGCGAGGATCGAACCCACGACCTCTTGGAAATGGGCCCAGCTCTCTACCGACCAGGCTATCCCGGCCCCTATGTGGTAGGTTTGTAATGGGATAAGTTACTCGCTGTTTGAGGACCGGGATAGTCTGGGCGTTGGGCCGATGTTCAAGAGGTCGTGAGTTCAATCACCGCTGGCCGAAGTTCCCATGACAAATCAATACCTCTGGGGGTAAGGAATTTGAGATTGATCGTTCTCTGGTCGCGTGAGGGCGACTGAAGATGAATTCTTGACCATAGATGACGTGACTGAAAAACAAGAAACGCCAGCTCTGCTTTAAATTCGCTTGGTTTCCCTACGCAGGCTTGCTAGCGTTTGGCAAATGGCATTAGAAACAACAACAACAGCTCACTGTTTAAAGAATAGAATACTCGTAATGTTTTTACGGGACAAAGAAATTTAAATTCATAATATCTAAAGCATAAAGTGATATATGGAATTCTTTTTTAGCCCTTTTCTGTAGTTCAAATAGTATCTTCTGGGATAGTTACCAACAGAATGAGTTACCAACTGCTTGAAGAGTGGAATCTGTTTTTTAGGGTCTAAGCAAAATTATTAAATTCTCAACATCTAGGACGTCAGTTGAAACGGATGTTTCAACCCCTTTTTTTTGTACTTCAAATAATAATTTCATTTAGCATGTTTTCAACAGGATCAGTTACTCATTGTCTAATGAGTGGAATTTGTTTTCAAATGACTAAGTAAAAGATATTTAAATTATTAATGTCTAAGACATGCGTTGTTTTGGTTGTTTCCTCCCATTTTTGTAAATAATACTTTTTATTTGTAAAATTAATCAAGAAGTTTTTAATTCTGAACATAAATAAAATTTATGAAGTCAAAATTTGAATTAAACACGTCTTATGGATTGTGGGTGAAATGAACAAGCATTTGCGTTGAAAAGAGAATATAAATTAAAAAAAATCATCAGCCCGAATGCAATATAACTATAACACTAGGGAACAAATTTTTTTGTTGTATTTATACAAATACTTGAGCTTGCCTAATTCAGGCGTGGGGATTTCAAATCTGAAATTTGTTTTGCTTCTAAAGCAACATTTTTAATCTATTTTTGGTCGAAATAATGTCCAAGTTTAAAAACTTTATATATAACAGTGGGTCACATAAATGTTGTGACAAACTTCGTTAGGATTAAAACTGCACAGGAACCCATGACCAGAAATATTGCTGTACGCGACTATTATGACTTGTTTAAGAACACACGAAGCTCATGATAAGGAAACGCCCAAGCGGCAAATAACGACATTTCTAGGCATGGGTTCCTATACAAATTTAATCCTGATAATGTGCCTTAGATCCCCTAAAAGTTTGACTTGTCAGGTATGTGACCACCTGTAACGTTTTGAAACTTGTACATATTGAAAAAAAATAGTCTAAAAATGTCACATTAAAAAAAATTAGCTTGGAGAGGAAAATCGATTACAGATTTAAAATAAGCGATATAAAATTTTTTAAGACCCGTTAAAAAGTCGCACGCAAAAGAAAAAAAAATGTTCTCCAGTGTAATCAATGATCCAACTATCACCCGGGGGGGGGGGGGTTGTATTTATATCATAAATATCTAACTCTCAGTATTGTAGTCATTGGATGCCAAGATCAGTATACAAATTAAACAGCCATATCAGAAAGCTGATCCTTGATCAATCGCTTGTGTTACAGAAGAACACAATTTCTTGATCCACAACAGCCAAATAGAGGTCTTTGCACCTGTTTGCCAGTTAGTTTTGAATCGGCATTTTTTATTCGTTAAATTACTGATGGTGTGTCAATCGACAGCTCTGTCCCTGAACAACAAATAAAAATTTGCCAATTGTGAATACAAATTTGAAGTTATGCGTACTTTACAAACGCGCATGTTGAAGCACTTTTAAAATTTATTCGCTTCAAACTATACATTTCCAGCCAATCCCTCTACATCGTTTTACATGTTCTTTGGAAAATACTTTTATTTATTCTTTATTCCATGTCAATATCATATAATTGAATTGCTTCCCAAAACAAGATCCAACATGACCCATCCTTGCTGTCCATCCACTAACTCTTCCCACCCGCTAGACATTGACCTAGAGACAGGACTGCAGCAAGAATAAGAAGGGTGAAAGGTTTCAACAACACCAGAGGTCGGTGATCTACCACTTTGAGAAATCATGCTGGTTTTGTCGTGAGTTGTCCCTCTTTATTATTATTATCTTCTTTTTTTATTTTTTTCCTTCTCCAAACCGACGATGCTCCGAGGAATTTAGCGTTTCTCTGTTTGCTGACTATTTCCGGGATCTGCAGAGTTGATCATCCTCCTACAAGACGGTTAAAAAAAAAAGGACCCTCAGGACAAGATGATCACCATTCCCGTTAGAGCGACCTCTGCCCATCTTTTGGCTAAAAAAGGGAGATAATTAAAATGCAATTGACAGGTGGGGTCAGATGGAGCATATTCAGGTAATCTTAACTCGGTTGGAAACGAAAATTAATAACGAGGCAGGATTGAGGATTTTTTTTTATAACCGATTCTTGAAAATATTCTTTGCCAGAGACAAGGTCGTTAAAGATCTGCTTGCATGAATAGGAAATAAAAGATATGATTTATTAACAGGACTGCAATACTTTAAAACACATCGCAGATTTTATTGTGGTTTTTAAGAGACAAGCTAACTAGATCTGATTGATACAAAATAAGCTTGAAGACCCGGAATTGCTGTATATTGTTTATATTTGCTATGTTCAGATTTTTTTTTTAGTTTCTGAATGAATGTATATCCAAAGCACATAAATCTTTGTATTATAAATTTTTTTTTATAATCTCTGTAAAAAATAAATATATATTGAGAACTAATAAATTATGGGAGGCATTTAATACCATTTGGAATTATTCGTTCAAATCCTAATTCAATTTCAACATGATTTTATTCCTTACAGCAACGTTTCCCAAAGTGGGGTACGCGTACCCCACTTTGGGAAACGTTGCTGAAACAGTTTAGTGCAACAAGCGATTTATGATTATGCTAGTTTAGTACGGAAACAGTCTTATGCAAAATATCTTGCAACAAACGAAAACTTCAAAAAAATTTATTAAAAAACAAAGCTAGCTCTGAAAATTTACGATTACGTATTTTACTATTGGTTATCTTTTGCAGAGTTGACAGTTAATAATTAGTGGTGTCAACAGCCAGTTGTGATTTTTAACTTTTGTGCAATTTTTTTATGGTAAAAAATACATTCAGTTTTTTATTAGTGGTACACAGCGTTACGAAAAATTTCTTATGGGTACACAAAAATCCTAATTTTGGGAAACACTGCCTTACAGAATAAAATTAAAAGGACAACACTCTGTATAACTTTTGTTCTTATGATGGTATTTTCATGAACTAAGTGCTGATTCTGACGGTTTAAAGGGGTGACAATCAAACATGTTAAATTAGAGCTAATAATAAAGTTATTGAAATGGATACCAAAACGTGCGATCGGTGAATAAACATACCTCTTTTGTTGGCGGATTTGGATTTGTGACTAACAAAATATGGGGAAAGCTGAAATCTGGAAAATATGATTCCGATAGTTAGGTTAGGATAGCGGCCAAAAGTTTGGATCCCTTAATGTTAATTTCAGTTTTTGATTACTTGGCCTAAGTCCGGCATTTTTTAAATGAGTTGTATATTTTTGCACACAACTATAAATATAACTTATCCAAAGAGAATTCCGTGCAAAAAAAATTGATTTTTATGTTAATTTTTTTTATTGCTTTATTTAGTATAGGACGAAAAAATTTTCGAGCAGTAAGGTTGACAAAATTTTTATCATTTTAAACAATGGTGTTTTAAATGCAAAATTTGATCGGAATTGGTTGAATAGTTCACGAGAAATAAAATTTAAGAAATCTGACACTTTTGAAAAGTTTTAACTCAAAAACTATTAGCCGATTTCATTCAAATTTTGTATTTTAATTTAAATTTAATTAGTTTATTATAGCGTAAAAATTTATATACATTACAATTCAAAAAAAATTCTTTTTACTATTAAATAAATTAATAAAATATAATTTAAAAACCATTTTTACGTGAATTATTTGTGGAGTAATGAATTTTTAAATTCTGTGCAAAATATTTTTAAGTCATTCAAAAAAAATTTCCGAAATATGGCGAAATAAGCAAAAAGCATGAATGCATCCAAATTGTCTACACATCTCCAGCCGCAACTATTGTCGAAAATACAAATCCGTTATGAAAGGCATATATTTATTTAGAGAAAGTATGTTATGTCTATATTCAGAACTTAATTAGTAGTTAGTACGCATTAATTATCGTATTTGATGCCTCTTGTTTGAATCATTTATATTGGTACTTAGTTTGTAAAAAACTAATTATTTGAACATAAGTTATTTAAGGTAATATTTTCCTTATTTTTCACATTGTACCTTCCTTAGTGCCGTCTTGCCTCTAGAGTTTGGAGGACTAAGAGATTTTGAGGCCTTATGCACTTTTGAAAAAATTGGTTCCAAGTTGTGCTATAATGATGGTACCTTAATCCGCAATATTGCACAAAATTGCGGCGATCTTAATGAAGCATTACATTGAGCCATGTTTTCCTACAAAGTTTAACCGTAGTATTGTGTTATCAAATTCAAGATAAACTAGTTTGCACAATAATATATGACTTGATACCATATTATACAAAAGTCGTGGGATAGCAATATGCAAATACACAGATGACAGTAGTATGGTGTGCAAAATGTATATATAGGTAGTACACTGGCAGGACTTTTATTTGTGTTCAAATTATTGATCTGAGAATGTTTTTGATGTAATTATGACCTCAAGCCTGGAATTTAGACTTAGAACGTGGAGAGGTAGTTGAAACTAGATGCATAGGAAATTCTATTTCGGAAGTTGTAAGGGAATTCAATATTCCTAAATCTACAGTGTGAAGACTATGTCGAAAATACCTAATTTAAATCATAATCTCCCACCATGGATAACGTGGGGGTCGACCTCAAGCACTTAATGACTGAAAACGTCAACGTGTGAGTAGAATTATCAGTGTTAAAAGGCAAATAACCAAAAGTGAACTAACCGAAAGCATCAATGTGGGACATGAAATGGATTTGTCTTTTAGGACAATGCGGCGAAATTTGGCTGTAATGGCATATAGCAGCAGAAGACTGTCTCGAGTGCCTTTAGTAATAGCACGTCCAGTGCCTCTCCTGGTCTCGTGACCATATTGCCTGGACCCTAGACGATTCGAAAACTATAGCTTGGTCAGATGAGTAGCGATTTCAGCTGATCAAAGCTGGTGGGAGAGTTCGAGTATGGCGCATATCCCAAGAAGTCATGCACCTAAGTTGTCTACAGCAGTGTTCCCCAACCCCCGGTCCGTGGATCAAATGGTACCGGGCCGCGCATTTCATTGAAACTGAATTTAAATTCCTAGGTTTATACCAAAAATTAAAAATATCTGTGTTCCATTATTTTATTTATTTAAAAAAAAGGGCTCCCGAAGGTAGTGACATAAATTTTTTAACGTTTTAAAACGATTACCCCCAGATGGAACCATCTCATTGCAAAGAAACAAGCTCAGGGTTCCCATTAATTTATTGTTCTAGTAAATTAAAATGTTAAATCACTTTATATTTATTTTTTGGTGTAACTGTATTTTATTTTGGAGGCATGTTTAAATACAATTAAATTAAAATTAATAAATCAAAATAATCTGAAATATAAACAATCAACGTCCCCACCCCCTCCTACGGGCCGCGGTAAAATTATCAAACGTTGACAGGTCCGCAGTGATAAAAAGGTTGGGGAACACTGGTCTACAGGGCACTGCGCAATCTGGTGATGGCTAATTTTTGCTGAAATTTCAACTTTAGACTATTTTTATTCACCGTTAGGAGATCATATAGTATAAATGAATATGTTTATTACATATTTAAATAGTCACAGCACTTATTATTTATCAATAATAAGTTTAAACTTACAAATGACTCGTGGGGCAAGTGTGGGCAATATTGACTGATTCATTTAGTGGTGTAATGGCATATAGTAGCAGAAGACCGACTCGAGTGCCTTTACTTACAGCAGGACATCACGTTCAGTGACTCTCCTGGTCTCGTGACCATATTGGTTGGACCCTAGACGACTGGAAAACTATAGCTTGGTCAGATGAGTCGCGATTTCAGCTGATCAAAGTTGATGGGAGTGTTCGAGTATGGAGCAGATACCCCACGAAGCTACGGACCTAAGTTGTCTACAGGGCACAGCACAATCTGGTGGTGGCTAGTTTTTGCTTAAATTGCAACTTTAGACTATTTTTATTCATCGTCAGATCTTATGTTATAAATGAATTTGTTTATTACATATTTTAATTGTCGAGCCGCGATAGTTCAGGGGATAGAGCGTTCGTCCTCCAATAAGGTGAACCGGGTTCGAATCTAGCGATGGACGGTTGATACGAATCCACATCCGGCTTGCACCGACTACAGTGCTGACGTGAAATATCCTCAGTGTTAGATGGGTCATGGGGTAGAGTCCTTTTGCCGTTAGGTTAACCATGGCAGGTTATCGTGGTCTTCCTCTCCATGTAACACAAATGCTAGTTAGTTACATTACAAAGTCCTCCACGAAGGCAAATTTCTCCCAATACTTGATTCAGGATTTGCCTTATCTTCTGGATTGAGTTCAAAATTACAAGGCTACGGAGTTGAACATTAGTACTAGTAAGCCCGAAAATTGGGTCGGCTTTTCAACCATGGTTATGAAATAAAATATAAAATATTTTAATAGTCACATTTGATTCGCATTTTAATTTATTCATCAATAATGAATTTAAACGAACAACTGACTCCTGGGTCTAGTGTGGACAATATTGACTGAGTCATATAGTCGTAATAAACTTGCGTTAACGGTAATAAGAAATTCCTTTTTTACTATACCACTTTTCCTTTTGAAGGCCTGGTAAAGCACAGTTCACATAAAATTTATTACTCTTTAATAATATTTGTCATGCAGATTTTTAAGACTATTTAATAAAGACTGTATTTTTAGACTAAAATTAGTTCCATTTTGATGAATTTCTTTTTATAAGTAATAATATTAATTGATAAGTTTCAGTGTTCTCGTAGTCAAGAATAATTTTTTTAAAAAAAAGTTAATAAAAAAG